GGCATACGTAACACATGTCCTAGCCATCTCAATCAGTGTAACTTCACAACCTCGTCAATTGATCTCTCCTCTTTACCTAGCAGTCGTCCGAAGTCTAGCCTCAATATTGCTAACCGCATCATACCACCTAATACGCGAGACAGAACGCAGGCACCTATGATCAAAGACAGCTAGCCAGCTTCTTCATGTCTTCCACTTTCAATGGCCATGTCTCAGTCACAGCCATAAAGGAGGACGGAGTGGATTGCTGAGCAGTACACACGCCCTCTGGTCGATAGCCGGATATCTCGTCTACGCCAGAGACGGTGTAAACTGGCATTTACGGAACGAGCCTTCTGTATCCGTGCTGAGATTTCGTCAGCGATCAACCTGTTGGCACTGGCTGATGCAACTTCCCAAATAAGTGAAGTGGTCAACGCGCTCTACCACTTCATTTCCTACTTATAAGCTAGGAATCAATGCAGTCCATTCATGTAGCGTCACCTTACATTTGACAGCAGGAGCAAATCGCATGCCAAACATACGAGGATAGCTGCTCAAGGTGCTCAGACGACTCTGCTCTATTTTGTCAGCGTCTTCACCTAAAAGGACTATATCATCTTCATATTCTAAGTCAACGAGATTATTCCCCGATGGTAACAAGTCAATCCCTGAGTCACTGAAGTCAGTTAGGATCAAGTCCACTAGTAGTACATATATGATTAAATTAAACAGAAATAGAGATAGTGGACATCCGTGACGGACACCACTAGTTGCCACCACTTCAGATGACAACTCTCCTAGGGCTCTTACCTGGCTGACTGCATGAGTTCGAGTAGATTGTCTTGATCAGTGCAATGTATTTTCTAGGCATTCCCTTCACAGCCAAACATCGTCAGAGTACCTCTCTGTCGACAGACTCGAATTCCGATTTCACGTCGAGAAATAATGACGACAGTTGGACCCCGGTAAGTATGCTTATGTTCCAGAATCTGTCGAGGGTTGAAGATATGATCAATTATAATAATAATTTTTTATATTTTCGTATAAACATAAATTTAAATGAAAATGCATGCCATTTTTACAGGCACGATCAAGTATGATACAGTGTCAAATAGTAGATTGTCTACAAGTTAGTAATGTTTGAACAGCTAAACATTTGATATATGTATAAATACACTCTTTGTCTGACCCATGTCGTATCATTATTGAATTAAACAGCAGTCCTCCAGGCTGCGCAGGAAAATCGACTTCATTTCGTTTTCAACCCGTAGTTGTAGGCATATGATAACCAACCAATATTGAGGTAATTACAACGTTTACCAGGGATAGTAAGCTGTTTTAGAAAAGTAAAGGTGCAAAGGTGAATCATTAAAGTGTAATGAAATAGGTAAATGCAATGTATCGTTAATATATGCATTCATAAAGGAAATACAATGGGAGACTATAATCCCTAGGCTGACAAAGTTCCTTTGCAATGTATAATGCTACCCTATAGGTTTTACTATCATGTTGTCCACTTTTGGTTTAATACAATTATCCACAAGCCGGTTGTTTTAATTTCATACCTTTTTGTGTTTGGTGCACAACCGCACCCTATAGAACATAGGAATAAAATAAGTCGAATCAAATTCATGAAGAGCTATAAAATGTTAGGTTTAGTGGAATATAATGAGCAAGTGAAGACGTTATTAGAAAATGTATGAGATGAGACATTGTTAAGTGATATTCGAAGATACGACAAAGGAAAGCATGTCAATTTATAAGATGCCCCATAAATCTGTGCAGAGCCCACGTGGTCGCATCTCAGCAATAGGCTGACCGAATGGTATATGTTTAAAGGTAGAAGCATGATCTGTCCAGGCGATCATTATTATCTTATTCAAGATAAAGATTCAAGCCCTCATAGAAATCTCGAGCCATCAAATTGTATATTGCTGTTCCTGCAGAATGGAGCGATTCACCTTAGTGTCCACCACCATATCTACTGATCAGCATGCGCCACCCTCCCTCCTTTTATGATGTTAGGCTCTGATTGTTATGGCTACAGCAAATATATTGCTTGATTCCAGACACGTTCGTACCTCACATTCCATTTGCCTAGCTTTCTTAGTGAGTGCTTCCAATAGATCTCCACATACAGATTTATGAACATATTATATATGTGTACATGCGTACTAATGAACAGATTAGTTTATAAGATGTTAAACCCTTAAAGAGTAAAAAGAATAGGTTTTGTGAATAGTGGAGCAAGATTCAGAAGAACACTATAGTTAGAGTTCAATGTAGATAGTATGAACTGAAGATAAGGTCGGTTGGCAGGACTTATTGCAATAAATTCACCCTCTTCCTGGTATAAAGCCCGCATAGTTCTCTCGTGTTTGTTTCTCTCAAGCACCACATAGTCCACGCGTTATTCCTGAATCGTGGAAAATACCCACCGGAACATTAGAGAGAAAAGAGCAAGAAATTCAGCAAAGATATGTTTTCGGCGATTTCATTCTCAAAAGCCGTACAACCGGATTTACATATATACGTTTACATGGATACATTATCGATTTAATTCCACATAGTAACGAAGGAAATTAAGCTTTTGAGGATGAAATCACCGAGAAGATACCTTTGCTGAACTTCTTATTCTTTTCATGATTATTGAGCCTAGAACTTTGGATGCCATATTGGTCAAGCGATTACCCCTGTGATTATCACAGGAGGACTTGTCGCCCTTCTTGTATATCGGGATAATCAATGACTTACACCAATCCAACGGGACTTCCTCTGATTCTCAGACGCTGCCTAGTGCCTCAGTTAACGCAGACAATAAACTGTCTCCGCCAACCCTAAACACCTTTGGAGTCATTCCATCGGGTCCCTCAACTTCGCCTCGTTTCAGACTAGTGACAGCACTAGTAACCTCAGTTAGGGACGGCGGACCTGTGTCTATATCCCATTCAGGGAGGTGTTGGATGTTCGGCAAGTTGAGCGTGGCTGTGGGCCAACTACATTGCCCCTCAAAGAGTTCTTTCCAACGTCCCAGTCGTCTATCCTGAGAGCTAATTATGGTGCCATTTTTCTCAGAGATTGTTTCACTTATCGTTTGCCTTTTACCACTTGTTTCCTTGATAAGCCTAAGTAGCTGTCTGGTGTTACCTATCACCGATGTGTTTTCCGTCTCTTTTGCTTCTGTCGCTCACCGCTGTTCACAGTCGTTACGAAGGTTTCTTATTAGTTTGCTTTTGAGCAGCTTTCGCTCCTCATCACAATCGGAGCTTCCCGGAATCAGTCTTCCTGCGTCGATCAGTTCTGATGAGGTAGTAGAAATCCACTGGCTTTTTATGTCTGTTTGGACGTAAGCATAAACGTGCGTGGACCAGGGCGTAATCGGACTCTACGCACGTGCTCCAGAAGGAGCAGCAATCTCCCACTACCCCTCTCCAACGATACCCTATTGCTATGTAGTCTATCTGAGTCCAACGTTGATTTGTTGATGCAGGTCACCAGATTACGTAATGCCTCTCTTTGTGCCCGGAGTTAGTGCTGACTAGGAACAGGTGATGATCTGAACAGAACTGTAGAATACGATCACCGTTGTCAGTTCGTCGGCAGGGGACTCCATACGTACCAGCTACATACTTCTCAGTCTGGCATAACTTCCCTACTTGTGTCTTGAAGTCGCCTGCTAAAACAACTACATCTGAATGTTTTTCAGTTTGCAGCAGATTAGACAGTTTCAGGTAGAAGTCATCCGATCTTCAGTCTGTTAGAGTGTAAGCGGAGACTATGAAAAGACAACGACGGGTAATGCCGTCCTTCCTTCTTCTAACGGACCCGTTCAGGAGGACCGCACACATAAGAGTATCTACTAGAATTTAGTCGAGAAGTGGTTTTTCACCCCTAACACTCAATGCTATCCCTATGCCTACGAGTCCTCGCGAACCAGCTGAGGAGTCTCCTGATACCCGTAAGGTGGGTTTCGCAAATTCACCTTGTTGGCCAGGAGGGGTTAAGTGGATAACCACACTCGGGTCTTGTATGCGTGTTTCCGAAACACAACGTACATCCATGGCTCGAGATGCCAAAGTTCTGGCTAGTGATGCCTGTTGTCCGATTTGGCAAAGGGTCCTGACGTGAAATGCTCCTATATGAAGTTGGTGGCGTGGCTTTAAGAAGCTGTCGGAGGCGTTTCTATGCCTCTCATCGTTATTTTTGATCACAGAGTGGAGTGAAGATGACTCACTAGCTTGCAGAATAGTACTGACTGTAGTAGGGAAGTAAAATGATGAGAGTGACGAGGATAAAGGAGGATGATGATAGGGAGGGCTTCATGTGCTTGCGGAAGTGTGTGGGCGGTTGTTACTTCCCGACTACCCACATCGTGGAAGTTGGCTTTTTCTTGGAGTACCTGAAACAGAAAGAGAGTTAGTGTTGCGTGACCGCAGAGCCCAGCAGGAGACAACTGCTTTAGGCCCGTCACACACGGCCTGTATGAACTGGTTTCCTGGATTGGTCCCGTATTAGTAAATTATCGCCGGTTGCGGGCCACCGTAGAGCAAGTCGGGATGTACAACTGTTTTCTTACCCCCTCTATCCAGGGTGGAGAGACAGCATAGCTGGCATGCTGGTCACCTGAGGGGAACACTCCAGCAGTATGACTTTGCCCACAGACCCCAGCATGGTGTTAAAAAATCTTACACTATGCCGGTGACCGCTTTTAATCTAATCACTATCCTAACAATCTTCCCGGCATGGTAGGACCTGTAGGAACATTAGTTCCAACCAGTGTAGCTTGTTGGGTCATTGCGATATGCATTCCCAACCAGCTGTTTGTTGGTTTTTTAAATGCATGCCACTATCACTAGTATTATCATCTCACTCTCTTCATATAATCAGCAGAAGTATTAACTTTGATCACTGCAGCACAGAGTTCCGTAAACCAAAATCTACCCTTCACATGTAACCAATTACATTCTGCATTGATCAGACAAACCGCTAAATAAGGATTGTCAAGGTCGTAGTGGTAAATGGCGTTCGTTGTGACGGACGAAGAGTGGCTTAACCGATTGAATGAAGATGCTAGATCAAAGAAAGACAGGAAATTAAATTTTTCGATAGGGCCATTCCAGTCATTTGACCAGTTCATTAAAGATACATATGGAGGTGAAAGACCATATCAGACTGGTAAATACGTTGTTAATATCGAAAGCTTTCTTAAGCTCAGGGAATACCATTTGCATACAAGCCAGGAGGAAACTTTATGCATCGGCCATTGATAGATGTTCCAAACATAAACTTGGGAATGTCGTGGTTCACAATGCAAAATATATTTAAACCTAGGTTTTGCCAAATTATGGAACGGGATTTCTTCCGGTAAGTGCTGTTAATACTCTAGTAGGTATGTTCTAAGGTGTGTTTCGAGAGTTGGTCTTCGGAATACAGATAAGCTCTGCAAGATTTACTGGGAAGACTTGCTAGAATGTCAGAACCATGACAAAGCCGTAAGTGGATGAATATACACAGACTCACGCTTTACAGAAAAAGAGAGCTCTTATGATGCAAAAAGTGCGAAAGGTAAAGAAAGTGGAACCAATGAGGGATGTGCCATACAATGCATTACTGGACCCTAACTTCCGTTAAGTGATTTCTGATTATTACCTCTATTTCACAATCCCTCTCATTGATACAGACACTCAGTGGTAACGAACGTTGAGGAATTCAGTTTTTGTGAAGTCATTTGATATGGTAGTCGTTATTGTATTTTGTGATTCTATAGAGACAAATAAACCTAGTCTAATATGTATTTTTCATTTGCATGTGCTCACTTTGTAAGGTCGGGTTTTAAAATTTGGGTTATTTGTGGTTGCGTTGGCTTTTAATAATGCATGAGGCGTAAATAGTGTACTGTATTCGTACATTTTTTCTCTCCATCGTAATCACCCTACTGGTGGTATGTAGTTATTGCTAGTCTATACCAAAGTCCTCAAACTCTTCGCTTAATGTAAAAATTTTATAATGTTCTAACCTAGTTCTTATGGCTTAACAATCACAGTGTTCAAATTCTCGGTTACTCAAAATTTTCCCTGTCACCATGTTTTATGTAGGGACCAATGTGTCTAGCGATTGATTTAAAATAACACTTAAGTTTTGGCTATTATTATTTACTGGTTGAGTTCTTGTAAATATATATTTCCCTGTTGTGATTACAAGTTTTCCCGCTATTTCGGGCTACGTTCTGAATTAAGCAGCAGCGGAAAAATTATCTAACAGTTGTTTAACGTTGGTGGCAAACAGATGATATCCTTGACATTCGTGCGCATTCAAGTTCGTGCTACTTATCAAACAGTAAGAGAAAAATATCTTACTAGTCAGTATTTATTTTCTCTAAGAAGGGAAGCTTAGGCCTGTGCAAGAATTGGCGTGGAATAATGCTCTTGTCCACGCCAAGTAAAATATTTACTCACATCGTCCTGGACAGAATAAAGGATGCATTGGATACGGAAATCCGCCCCACCGACCAGAACAAGCTGGATTCACGAAATGCGAATCGTGTGCTGATCAAATTTCAACTCTACACATCGTTATCGAACAAAGCATAGAATGGCAGTCAAACCTCTCTCTGCCTAAACTTCATCGACTTCGAAAAGGCCTTCGACAGACGGCGTCGACCGAGAAGTAGTTCGGAAACTGCTTGGACACTGCAGCATACGGTTCCCAATTCTTCATCAACCTGATTCAACAGCTATATGACAGTGGCACGTATCGGGTGATCCACAACGGAAAACTCAGCTAGTCGTTTGAAGTGCGTCCATGATTCAGACAAGCTGGCTGTTTATTACCACCGATGATATCCTTAGTTGTAGTGGGCTGGATTGTTCGTCAGACTGTCGGGGTCGAGGAGTCAGGAATACGCTTGATCACCACTAAGAAGACTCTAGAAGATCTGGATTTCGCAGATGATATGTATCTAATGTGGCACAAAATTGAAGACTTGCAAGCGAAAACTGGCTGAAGAGGCAGCCAGAGAAGGCGTAGTTGATGAAGATAACCGACGAACAGCAACAACCAGCACTAATCACCACCAACGGGAGATTTACCAGAGGTTGCCTCCTCCAGTTATCTGGGAAGCATCGTTTCAACTACAGGCAACTGGCACGGACGAAGATGTCGGGATCGGAAAGACAAGTAAGATACGCCTTCATCAACCTGAAACTAGTTTGAAAATCTTCGACATTCAGCCTGCATAAGGAACAAGATTCGCATTTTCAACACAAATGTGAAGTCGGTTCTTCTACACGGGTCAGAAAGTTGCACTGCGTGTCACGAAAAGGATTTCCAACAGGTTGCAGACTTTCATCAAAAGCTGCCTTCGCTGGCTACATACTGAAGATCGAATGGTCAGAAAGAATAAGCAACAACAAACTATGGGAACAAACCAACAGGCAAGAGCCGATCGCTCAACAAATATGTAGGAGAAAGTGGATATGGATCGGGCATACATTAAGGATGCCGCCGAATGATATCGCACACCAGGCCATTGCTCGAGTGGAATCCCAATGGGAATCGACGAGTGGGTCGTCGGTGCGATGGTGACATGGAGGAGATCGTCTGGCGAGGAGGAGGGGATGAGAGATTATGGTCAATCGTAGACCCAGCTGAAGAGGACGGCAGAAAACAGCACAAAGTGGAGATGTGTTGTTGAAGCCCTATGTTCCACTCGGAACTCAAGGGAATAATAATAATGATTTATTGTCCCTTGCAAAAATAAAAATAACTGCTGGGAATGTGTAGATATCAGTTAGCAGTGATTTTTGGTGCAATGATGTCTCCATTGAATATAACTACAGTATGTTTGGAGTCGGTTCTTTGTGTCGTGTTAGGCATTGTCTTCCAAAAAGTGTTTTTGATTTCTGCGGTTTTATCGAAGTCATTTTTATTCTCCGAGCAAAGCTGTTTGTAGATTGCTATGCATGGTTGCCTGAATTCTACTTGAGGTTTAGAAACAAGAAAAATGGCTGAGCCATGCGGTATTTGGAGCTCGAAAGTGTACCTATTTGACTTTCGCAGTTCTCCAAAACTCGGTGTGTAGAATACTTATGTTTGGCTTAAAACTACCTTAGGCTAACCGAATAAAGGGTCTAGCGGTGGAATGTATACCGTACGGCTGGAGACATATTCTCATCACAGTTTGCATCTTTGTCTGTCTTTGTGTATATCGTTTCAGTTACCTCTTTCGAATTTGTGTATATCAGTTATCTATTTTCTAGTCTCCCGTTTCCATGGTGTCTAGCAAATCGAATAGTAGAACTGATACCTTTTGGGATGTCAAGGTTACGTAGACTACAACTGTCTCATGTATGTGTTTAGTATGCACCTGAAAAACATTGTATGCTTCCCGGTTGTTGGAGAATGCAAACGACAAGTGTCGCTTCTTGAGTAATGAATGAGGCGTGTTTTTCATGCATTAATGTGGTCTTGCTTGAAGACTGGTCAACACCTGCATTTAGGTTGAGAATGAACAGAGAACTGATATTTCTCATATATACGTTTAGGGCTGATAGTCGGTGAATTCTTATCTTTATTCCACAAGTTTTTTCCTGCCATGTGATGCCAATTGTTTTGTAAGTTGAATTTCTGAATATCTGATGTGAAATAAATAAGTTTTGCAGTCCTCTGTATTTTGTGTAACAATGATAATTAGGATTACATCACTTCAATTCACTATATCATGACTTTTTATTAGCGTCATAGCTGTCCATTGTCATTGGTGAGTATCTATACTTACAGCCGTTATGGTAAACCCTACGAATACGGCCTTTCATTACGATTACAGGAAATTCATGTCTAAAGACTGAATATATCGGTGCTGTTACAAAAGATTAAGAACCATTTTACCAATACCATCCATCCATGATTCTAACCTTTCAGCCTACCTCAAAAATTACAGACTAACAGGTACTGACTTCGTAAATTAGTAAAGTTTTTTGATGTGATTATCCCAGTCTTTTGCGACCTAATCCTACCTCATCTGACATCCAGAGTCAATTAGTGATAATAATAACTATAGTCGCTTTATTCGAAATAATATTTTTGTTACTGTGGAGTTCTCGGCATGTAATACAATAGTGTGCCTTTTTTTCTGTAGAAATTAGGGGAAGTAATAGCACAGAAGCCTAGTAATTTTCACAATAAGAATAATAACGAAAATGCACTAATGCTAGTAAAATATGAAATAGTCGTTTGTTTTCTATATTACGTTAATACCTTCGTACCTAACCCTGTTCCCCTCTTATAAAATCCGTGCCAATCAGCTCTTTTTGAGTTTGTACATTTAGCTGTACGAGAGTCCGACAAAATTTTCTATAATTTGAAGTGTCTGTCAACGACGATGCTAACCAATTGGTGTAGAGAGACACCATTTACCTTAATATCAGATCTTGGAGTTCTTTGTAGCAGAATATAATCAATTTTAAGCAGCTCAGGAAAGAATAAAGAAAACTACACAGGACACGAAAGTTAGATTGCGAAAATAGGAGCTGAGTTGTACTGCAGAGTCTTAACTTCCTCGTGTAAAATGTTAGTATTTTCCTAGAGGTCACCATCATACGGGGCAACCAGGAGTAAGACCTCGTGGAGTCAGTCAACACTAAACTAAGCTTTTACATCAGCACACCCTATGTTACAGGAGTCATTTGGACGAACCGGCTCGTGTTAGGCTTGTTTCTGTGTGAGAATGGGATTAAGAATTTTGTACTTGGAGGCATTTAACTCAAGACTGACAGTAAAAGTAGTGTGGGGCTTCCGCCCCTTCCCCAGCAATTACGTCATACGGTGTAATGATACAGGAACTTATTTCAATAGGTGTGTTCAGACTCAAGTAAAAATGATTTGGCCTGAGGTGTTTTATGGCCATAATTATGAAGATTTTAACATGTCATAGGTGTAATTTTCCGATAACGGCATATAGTAATCAAGTTTCTTATCTATGCACTACACAACTAAGGCAAAGTACTTGCAAAGATTATTGTTTACAAAACCAAAAGTAGTCATAATTTGCTTTTACGTTACAGTAAACATTAAATATTCTGCCAGACTGTTATTTCGAATTTGTATCATTATCACTTGGAGCTGTTGTTTGTTACTGAGAACAAATAACCCATTCATCCTTATAGCTGTCATTTTTGCAGTGTTTAGTTACAGGTAAACACTAAGCTCCATTGTGTGGTCTCATGTACGCATAAATTTAGGTTCTGTGGGTCATGATAATTTGACTGGTTAGTGAAATGTAAATTGATAGGATTATATGTTTTGTCAGACAAACTGGTTAATTAGTT